CTAAAAACAATGGCCCAAAATCAAGAATATTAACCCTTAAAATAAAATTAACGAACAACTATGCTACATACGGCATACCACAATGCGTTTCGGAGTCCGCAGACTTACTAATAGACACGGGCGCCGAGCTCAATTTAATAAAATTAAGCTCCCTCAAAGACGATGTACTAGTATCAAACGCTAAGATATACAAGATGCAAGGTATTAACGATCAATTAGTTAATACAATGGGCAGTACAATGTTATCGGTATCGATTGACGGCAGAAAATAAGAAACAGAGTTTCAAGTAGTCGAGGCGTCTTTTCCAATTGCAGGCGATGGTATACTGGGTAATCCTTTTTTAAAGGATAACCAAATAATTATCGATGTTGGAAAAGGGGAACTGACAGCAAAAACGGACGTCGTCAGTATAATACCACCACGCAGCGAAATGATAATTTCGGTCAAAGTCAATGATGACAATGTAATCGGTTCACAGAACATTTTAGTACATGCACAAAACAAAAACATATCAGCAATTTGAGGAAGACATGCGAACAACTGTAATAACTAACACAAGCGTCGTAGAAATCCAAGGTGATCTTTTCGAAGCACCTGAAGACTTGGCTATAGGCCATTGCGTTTCAAAGAATTTTGAAATGTCACGAGGAATAGAATTGGAATTCAGGAGAATATTTGGTCAAATTGAGAAATTAAAAGAACAAAACAAAGATATCACAGAAATTGCACACATTAAACATAACGGGCGATTTTTCATATATATTATCACTAAACAACTATGTCAGCAAAAACCTTATCTAGACATAATGTTTAAATCTATCGTTAATTTACGAACATTCTGTGAAGAAAATAATATCACAAAAATTGGACTGCCTAGAATTGGCAGCGGACTTGACAATTTAAATTGGGAAACAGTTCGGTCTATTATCAGATACATATTTAAAAATTCAGGAATCAAAGTTATCATTTACGTCGACATCGAATATTCTGATGAGGAAAAACTCAAGATAATTGAAGAATTTCACAATTCTCCACTTGGTGGTCATCAAGGTGTGTCGAGGACTATCAAAAGAATCAAACTACACCACCAATGGAAAGGATTAAAACATGACGTGAAGAAATTTATAGCTTCATGTCACTCATGTCAACAAAATAAAAGCACGAATAAAACCATTAAACAACCTATGGTAATTACAACTACATCCGAAAAACCATTTGAGAAAGTATTTCTTGATATCGTTGGTCCTCTCACAACAACACACAAAGGTCACTCGTATATATTGACAATTCAAGACGACTTGACCAAGTTTTCAGCGGCATTTCCATTAATTACTCATGATGCAAACTCGGTAGCAAAAACATTTGTCGAAAGATTTATATGCCAACATGGCATACCGGAATCAATTGTAACGGACTGTGGGACCGAATTTATGAGTAATATTTTTAAAGAGTGCTGTAAACTACTGCAGATAAAGAAGATGAATACTACCCCGTATCATCCTCAATCCAATGGTAGCTTGGAAAGGTCTCACCGTACGTTGGCAGAGTATTTGAGGCATTACGTGGACAAAAATCAGACAGATTGGGACGACTATGTGGCTTTTGCCATGTTTGTTTATAATACAACAGTGCACACAACGACCAATCATCAACCATACGAACTCGTTTATGGTTTCCCTGCGGTAGTTCCTCATACTCTGAGCCGAGCTCCTCAGGCGAGATATAATTATGAAGACTACATATATGAATTAAAACAAAAACTACAAGAAACGTACAAGACAGCCAGAGATAATATAATAAATAGCAAGGAAAAATCAAAAGGAAAATATGATCAAGGACAGCAACAAATACATATAGAAGTTGGTGATCAAGTTTGGGTGAAGAACCACCAACAAAAGGGGAAATTAGGACCAGTGGGTGGGTCCTTACAATGTGATACAATTACACGACAATGAAAATATTACCATCCAACGAGATAGAAAGGAAATTAAATTACATAAAAACGAGGTTAAACTCGCAACTAACACGTAATATTTAAATACCAGATAATACAGATTTTGTGTATACAAACAACTATTTATCCGATTTATTATTTGTACATAATAAATACATTTATTTTTTTTTCCTCTTCTCTTCATTTCTTCTATTTGTTCTCTTACAAATTATTTCGGTATTTTTTTTTTATTCTCTCAGAATTATATTTGGAAAAACAAAAGCGAATCAATTCAACATAACCCCTATATACAACCCATCAGGGATATATTTCCACTCAATTAATAACCTACGTGTACATAATTCATTTTGGCGATTCCTCACTTACGTTAATATAACTAATTATAATGAAAAACAATGAAAAATCAAATAAAAGATATAAAAACACAATTGCTTATTGGGGAGGGTATACCAGTTAACTTAGATGATTCTGGAGTATCAGAATTGCTTCGTCTAACTACAACTAATGTCGTTTTAATAAAAGATGTATTAGTTTTTGATA